GCGCTATAGAAATTTTTTATCCAAATTTATTTAGTTTGAAAAAAGCGAAAATGTTTTTATAAAATAAAGAATTTTGTAAAAATGATTGACGTATATTGTAATGGCATTGGACTGTAAGTGGTCAAGTGAGGTAAAGTATATGAATTGCATTTTACCCGGAGTAGAGGTCCACGGTTCGAATCGACGTCTCGAGTAAATTTGGATGAATGAGATTAAATATTATTTAAAAATAAAATTTTGTTTGTAATTTAACTACAAAATTCAAAAAATGATAATAATAATAATTTATATAATTAATTATGTATGCTGATAATTTATATGAGTGACAAACACATCAGAGAGTGATATTTAAATGAATGTGACCTATTTAAAATTCAATTAAATTCTCGTCTCCAACTGTCTTCTTCGTTCATTATTAAAGTTCATTTTATTGATCCTCATTGTTCTTCAGATTCATTATTTTTCCTCTATTTACAGAGTGAATTTTGCAATGACAACTGGAGAGATAATCAACTTTTGTTCCAATAAAAAGAGATAATATTTGTATTTATAAGATTAATTCCAAGTTATATCCACGAAAAATTGATACTTTTGCAGTCGGTGTGAATTCTAGTTTTTTTTTTTTTTCATAATTTTCCCTACACAGGAAGAAATATTTCTTGACTGGAGAACAAAATTCTTGGCTCAAGAAAATTTTCGGGTGCCTAAAGGAAGACCGAATTTGTATTGGCCGACGCAAAAATTTTTTTTAAATTCTATTTTTGGTGGAAATTATTTTTTCTCAATTCAAATTATTATAAATACTTGATACAATAAATTTTTATACTTGATCACGATTTTTAGATACTTTAGGGAAGCAGCGCCACTTACTTCAGCTGAGAAAAAAATTTTTTCACCTTGGGAAAATTTTTCTCTTGAATATTTAATAGCCATTTTATATTATTTTAGCGTGCAATAATACATATTGAATGAAAAAAAATGATTCAATATTATTTGAGATGTTAATCAATAAAAATATTATTAAAAATTTACTTCTATCTTTATATTTAATTTTTTAGAGCAAGAGAGAAATTTTCTCAAGACAAGAAAATTTACTTCTATTAAGAATTAAATTTTTTGAAGCAAGAGGCAGAATTTTCTCACAACAAGAATATTTTTTTGACTTACATAAATTTTCTTGGATCAAGATAAGTATTTCTTAAAGCATGTGAATTAATTTTGTTGGAATAAGTGAAATTTCTTGTGTCAAAAAAAAAATTTTTTTTCGCTCAAGAAAATAATTAGGACGAAAAACATTTTTTTGGTTCAAGTGAACCTTTTTTCTGTAAAGATTTCTTTTATACTTGATCAATGATCAGAAATAGTTTGCTAATAAATCTAGTGTTGTGATATGATAGTAGCTAGTTTGTTTGCTCGATTTTGAGTGCTGAGAAATAGCACTTTCCGGAAGGAAACAGGAAGGAACCAGGAAGGAAGGTAGCATAGTGGATGGTCACCAAAAAGCCCATCCAGAGGAAATAATTGAACAGAATAGAACTCGGAGCTAATATAACCCAAAATGGAATAGAATGAATAGAACGAATAGAACTAATGCCAAAAACTATCTTTCAGAAACTGTCTAGACAACGTTTATTTATTTATTTGTAAAACTATTAATCGTTCAATTATAGTTTTAATTAAAATTCAAACTAATTGTGGAGGTTGAAGTTTTCATACATCGATGTGGAAGTATATATACAACCAAAAGTGGAGAGACGAGTGTTTTGCGAAGTAGGTCGCTCGCTCGCTCGCTCGCTCGCTTGGATGCCAAAATGGCTGTAGTAACACAGTCTGCATTGTTTGTATATGAAATATGTATATACTTCACCCTCGGTGCTCTCGTTTTGTATTTTATAAAATTCTCCGGGAACAAAACATCAACAGCCGTAAAATATAATAATCCTAGCGACTCTCTTGTCTCTGTAACTTTTTTCCCGTATTTCATATTTTTTAAGTAATTATTTTATTTGTTTGCAGAGTGATTGTCATTTTTGTTTGTTTGTTTAAGTAACACGTGTTTGTTATTAAAATTTTATTTTGGTTATTATTTAGATCTACTTAACAACAAAAATATTTTTTTAATGATATCATTATGAAAAATCTCATTTGTTAATCTGAATAATTTATTAATTAATGCTTATTTTAAATTTATGTATAAATGATTGATAATTTTCTTTTAATAATTTTTTAGAAATAAATTTAAAAAATTGCAGTATTTAAAAAATTATCAAAAAAAATCAGTCTCCATAAAAAAATCATTAAAAATTTTTTTTAAATAAATTTTCATCAAACACTTAATCTATAATATTAAGAGAATAAGAAAATTTTTGTGTCGAGGATAGTCATATAATAAAATCGGTTTTTTTTTTAGTGAAATTTAGTGTCATTACAAATATCTTGACTTGAATTTGTGCCTTTTTAAGGTTTTACATCATTCTCACGGATAGTCAATTTATTATAACAAGTATTTAGGCAGCATTCGAAAATGCTCTATCTCTATATAGATATATAATTAAGAAATGACCTTGTATCTTGTGAGCTATTGACATTTTTAAAGATATAAGCTCATCACGATGTTACACTCATCGAGACCTTTCATTTGAGTACCCACATCAATTTTTCATATATTTATATATATTATATATATGTATATATGAAAAATATATCAAAAATGCATGTGGGTACTCAAATGAAAGCTTCTGATGAATGTAACATCGGGATGAGCTTATATCTTCAAAAATGTCAATAATTAAGAACTGACATTGCTATCTTGTTCACTAATGATATTTTCAAAGATATAAGCTCACTCCGACATTACACTCATCGAAACCTTTCATTTGAGTACCCACATCAATTTTTCACATACTTTATATATTTATATATATTACATATATGTATATATGCAAAATATATCAAAAATGCATGTGAGTACTCAAATGAAAGCTCTTGATGAGTATAACATCGGGATGAGTTTATATTTTTAAAAACCTCAATAGTTAAAAAAGTACAGTGCAAGTTATTATTTAATAAAGCAAAATTTTATTTATTTATAGTTCACAAGCCACGACAGTCACATAGTGACTGCAAGGTTGCTAGAAATTACTAATTAAAAAATAATTTTACAAAATTAAATGTTTCAAAAAATAGAAATTTGATTGAAGACAAAAATAAAATTTTGTTTTAATAAATAAAAAATAAAATAACAAAACTTATACAAATAATCATTAAATATTATCATATTTATATAGTACACATCCTATGACATCAGAACAATTTATTTTAATAAACTAAAGTAAGCCTATAAAAATTGATCAATTGAGAACAGACATAAAAAAATAAGAGCTTAAATCTACAGCATCATAATACAGCGAAAATATAACTCTCTAGGTATTACAGCCAGTAGTCGAAGTAGTAGTAGTGATATATCAGCAACTGCAGCAGTTTCAGCAGCACAAGTAAAGTCTAGTATTGTGAATGATCGAGATTAGGGGTATTGTTTCTGGTCTTTCATGCTTTAGCAGTACACTCTACCTTCTCACTCTCATTCACTATTACAGTTATTGTTCTCCTTGTTCGCAAACTACGCCCCATTATCCAGCACATTCCAACCCATCATTGTTCTATTTGCGTCATCGCTAAAAAACAAAGAGGATAAACTAAATTCTGATAATCTTTTCATTACCATAATACACGCATTGTACTTGAGCTTTAATTAAAACACAGTATTATTCCTGTGGAAAATATCATAAGCACCCAGCCGTTTCCATCTGTGTAAAAATATTATAAAATTTAAACATTATTAATCATTTATAATCGCTGGATAACGACCGCCGATTACCGCGAGGAAAAGTTATTAATTCAAAATAATTAACCGGGCGAGAGGTCTACACGAGGGTTTTATTAAAATATTATTATTATTATTATTATTACAATATAATATACATGTATATACATACCCACATAATATTAGTTATATAGAATTAGTTTTTAATGAACCATTGTTGGGAAACCGCTGAGTAGAGGAACCAGATGGCTCAATAATCATAGTCGTTGAATATTAATTAACCGTACTTACGTGTTATTAGTAAATGTATGAATAAATGACCGACTAGATTTTATGTTTTATAAATTATTCATGCTTATATTTTACTTTATAAAAATTCTTTTTATACATAGATGAACAAAAAGATTTTAAAATTACTCATTTATTATTTACATTTAAGCTTCTAATTATTATACTATAAATATTTAAAACTGTTTTTTTTTTACACTGAGAAAAAAAATACTTTTATGAAGAAAATTTTCTTGATACAAAAATTTCCACGTTCTAATTAGCAAATTGTCTAACTTAATTTTAGTGAATCTTCTATTTATACGAAAAAAACAATTAGTTGAAAATTTATTATCACTTTAGAAAACTATCTAATATCATTATTATATAATAAAGATATAATATTTAGGTTTGAATCATTCAAATAATTTATAATTGGATTATTGCTACGTTAAAATGTTAAAAAAACACCCTCTAAAAAATAAGGAGTTAGATAAATTGCTAATTAGACCGTCGATTTGTGTTTTTGAAAATTTTCAAGAATATATATTCTTAGCTCAAAAAATTGTTAAATTGATTGAAATAATTTTTACTTAATTTAAATAAAGCTATTCTTTTGTTTATCTATTACCTAAAGATAAATATTAATGCTCTTCTCTAATTTTTTTCTCAGTGTAATTTTCAAAATTTTTTTAATGCACTAACAGAAAAAAATATTATTTAAATAAGAATTTTTTTAATTGCACCTTTTAAACTTATTAATTTTTTTTCAAAGGAAGAATATCAATATATAAATGAAAATTTTTTATTAATTTAGCTTTATTTAGACTATTTTAATTAATTTAACCAATTTTTCAGACAAAAAACATGCTCAATGTTTTCTAAAAAAAATAAAATCAATAAAAGTATTTTTTTCTCTTAATATAATGATATTAAAAAAAATCAATTCAAACAATTTGACACTTCAATAATCCACAAATCATTCTCGTCAATAATAAAAAAATTACCAGCTAACATATGTATCATGTCACTGTCAATTAAGTGTCATTTCAATCATCAGAACCAAGCCATCACTAACAGAACCAATTATTGAAAAACTGATCAATCAAAACTATTGACTAAAAAAAAGATCAATAATTAACAACTATTATTATTATTGTTATTATAAACATAACTGTGACTATGATTATGATTATAATTAATAAGGTACTTGTCGAAGCATCTATTACAGCGGTGCAATCATTATCCAAATGCCACCTTCAGGAATATTGAGGGCAACAGCAGGAGCCCAGACCAAAGGTTGCTTAGTCTTTGGGGAGAGTTTAAGCTGAAAGTTGTCAAGCAAAACAGCCAACGCGCCTTTGATCTGTAGCAAGGCCATTCTTTGGCCGACGCAAACCCTGGGTCCTCCCCCGAACGGCAGATAAACAAATTTATGCTGTTGAGATTTATTCTCGTCGCTAAATCTTTCCGGGTCAAATTTGTCTGGATTTTCCCAGTACTTGGAATCTCCGAGCAAAGCTTGAACAGGAATGGTTATTTTAGTACCAGGTTCAACCTGACACTCAGCACCGTCAAACCCGACTAATTTGCTTTTCTCAGTGCAAATTTTCTGGAGGATTTGCGCCACTGGAACTGTCCGCATCGATTCTTTGATCACTAGATCCATGTACTTCATATCCTGAATAGCGTCGTAGGTTATTTCATTGGAATGCTTCGCCAAAACTTGTTTCACCTCTTTTCGCAACTTGTCCTGTACTTCTGGATGACGGGCTATTTCATATGCGATGAACGTCAACGTGAAACTGGACGTCAAATAGCCGTCGACCAGAAACGACGCAGCATGTCCAGCGATTGAAAGGTCGATGTCATTTTTATCCAAATCTCCATCAGCCTCTTCTGCGTTTAATTTGTAAGTGTCACTCAAGTGCTGGATAAAGTCATTGCCTCTCGCGCCATCTTTTCGAGCATCCAAAACTTCTTTTACAATATTCCTGAAGTAGTGATCAACTTTGGGAGGCACGAAACTGGTTTTGAGGATGCTGTTAAGCATCGGAAAGAACATCACGAGCATGCTTTTGAGGGAAGAAAATGAAGAAGGTTCAAACATCATTTTTGCCATTTCCAAAAAGCTACCTGGTTCATCAGAAAAGCAGTTGCCGTTGACACCAAATCCAGCTTTTGCAACTACACCCGAAGTGAAACGTGCAAACAGGAGTTGTGCGTCAACTTCAACATTTTTACCGCTGTTCAACTTTAATTGGCTGTTTAGGTAATTAATAAATTCAAAGCAAACATCTCGGACCGCAAGTGCCATATTTTTGAGTTTACCACTCGTCATGCTGTTTGTCAACACAGAACGTCCTTGTTTCCAACGTTCTCCTTCTGCAAAGAATGGGTTGCGGCTCAGAAGTGGATCCGCTTCTGGGTTTATTTGCATTGCGTTTCTTTGAAAGCTTGAAAAGTTTGTTTGCAGAACTGTTTTCACTAATTCTGGGTCTTTTACCAGCAATTCTGGCTCCCCGAAACTGTAAAGCCCGACCATACTGCTCTTTGGCATCGATTTGTAAAACTCGTCGTACAATTCGCCTGAACTTTTACGCATCGTTATTACCGGCCACATATTTCCGATAAATGGAACGTTGCTTTTGATGGATGGTACGCGACGCTTCGACCAGTACTTTTGTTTTTCCATAAAATACCAGTAAATTCCAAACATCGAAACCACTATTGACGCCAGGTAAATAGAGTACCAAGAAATGGAATCCATTTTCAAATTAAGCTATTTAATTCACTTTTTTGACAAACATTAAAATCACGGACAATATTTATCTGCGTTGTATAATGCACTCGCTATAAAACGACGATGATAACAAGGTGTTGTCGGTGAATTGAACCGTCGGAGACTGAAATATGTGTTGCAGAATGGAGGGGACCATATTATAAAATTCATCCTTGATGTCATATTATGCGACTTAATGTCATTGAGATGTACTGCGTATATTTAATAGTAGACACTGTTGCTTACTTCCTACTCATTTTAAAAGAGTGATGCGAATAATAAAAGATAACAATATGAAAACAAAGTTTAAGTATCAGTTATATTAGCAATGAAATTCATTTATAAACTCAAGTGTTTTTTTTTTTTTATCTTTTGATTATTGCATTGATTTTTTATCAGAATTTTTTATCCACAACCTAAATTTTTTTTTTAAGAGCTTTTTGTATTAATTTAGAGTTTTCCAACTGTGAGGCAACAAGTTTAAGTTTTTTAGGTAATTATTTAAAAGTGAGGTCCACTATATTTTTCGCCATATTTAGGTGAAAAATTAACATTTTTCAGTTTTTTTTTATTCTGCTTATTTTTACGGCGCATTTATGATAAAAAATGTCGTGAAAGGAAAATATAAAAATTTCGATAGCTTTTTTGCCTTTAAAAATTGGAAAAATTTTGGCTCTCATATTTTTGGATAAAATTTCTATTTTATCTTTTTTTGATAGTTTTTTTTTTATAAAAGTACGTAAAAAAACGAACAATTTGAAAAAAATAGTTGAATATCACAACTTTCTAAAAAATTTATAAATTTTTTCGATAATTTGTTAAAATTGTGATAGTAATTTTTTTTTTAATTTCTCATTTTTTTTGTATTTAAAAAAAACCTGTCAATGAAATCAAATAGAAATTTCGTTCAAAAAAAATGAAAATTAAACTTGTAAATAATTACCTTTTTTTATTGTAATATAATAAACTAGATTTTTTGTTACAAAATAAATTTTAGTGAATGTAAGCGGATATTTATAAATTTTTAAAGCAAAGGTACCTCGAGGCCATTTCAGAATTTAATCTCGATATTGGCGCTTAAAACGAAGCATGTACTCTATTGTCACTGTTTCAAGAGCATGCAATGCACTCGATTTAATTTCTAATGGTTTTATACTGTACTAGAATATTCAAAGTTAGCTTTTATGAAAAAAAAAAAAAAAAAAAAAATTGTAAGAAATAAACAACTTTTGATCTTTTATTAATTCTCAAAAATTCAAAAAAATTTATTGAATTTTTTTCTAAATCTCTTCAAATTCTGAAGCTTTCCTACTTCCGATCTTTTAGTTTACAAACTCTGATCCAAATATCAGAATGGGGAGCAGTAAACAGCCCCGATAGTTTATGAACTCTCAGAGGTTCATCAGTTTTTCGATCAACCTCAATCCAATAATCCTTAACCAACATCGCTAAAGCAGCCTTCATCTGCATGATGGCCACCCTCATTCCCACACACTGCCTGGGCCCGCCCCCAAACGGCAAGAAAACGAACTTATTAAGGTTACCAACATTGTCCGGTGAAAATCTTTCCGGATCAAATAATTCCGGGTTGTCCCAATACTTTTGATCACGATGCAGTCCAAATACGGGAATTATCATCTCGGTGCCTGGTTTTACGCAACACTCGACACCATCAGAGCCAACCAGTTTGGTTTCCTTGGTACAGACTTTGCCCAAGTACCCCAACGCCGGAAAGAGTCTCATTGACTCGTATATAACCTGTTCCATGTATTTCATGTCTTCCAGCGTCTGGTATGTCAGCTTTCCATCATGTTTCTTCAGAATATCAATCACATGTTGCCTGAGTTTCTCCTGGACTTCTCCATGCTTTGCAATTTGGTAAGCTGTGAACGCCAATGTCACTCCAGAGGTTATGTACCCGTCGAGAAAAAACGAGGCTGCGTGAGACGCAACTAAAATTTCGTCAATTTTTCCAGTTTCTTCATTTCTGCACAACTCGGAGACTTTTTCAATGAAGTCATTGTGTGGGTTTTGATTGCCGCTTGATCTAGCTTCCAGCACGGTTTTTATGATGTTAACAAAGTAATGGTAAATTTTCTTTGGCATAAATCTTACGCGTAAAATTTTGGCTATAAACGGAAAGAAAAAAGTAATAATGCTGATAAATTCATAAAAACTTCCCGGTTGTAACATTGGTCTAACCATACTTTCAAAAGTTTCCGTTTCTTCGGTATTAAAAGATTTTCCATTTATTCCGAATCCTCCTATTGCTACAACTTGAGCAGTAAAACGAGAGAGCAATTCCAGGGCATTGACTGTTATCGCTCCCGATTTCGAAGATGATGATGTTATCAATTGTTCGAGGTAATTTGTGAATTCATCGGCGACATTGATTATCCCGAGGGCTATTAGCTTCAATTTTTGGCTGGTTAGTCCGTTCAACAGTATCGTCCGGTTTTTTTTCCACTGATCATCAGAAGTGAAGAAGGGATTTATCGATAACAAGGGATCCAAATTGTAGTCCAAGGAGGAGGTGTTTTTGTTGAAGTTTATGAACTCCGTGGTCATTATTTGCTTTATTAATTTCGGGTCCCGGACTATTATTCCGGGGACGGAGAAATTGTAATAACCCATCATGCTGCTATTTGGGAACAAATGGTAAAAGTCAATATTGAACATGTAAAGAAAGCTAGAGCGCATTGTAATAATTGGTAAATTATGTCCAATAAATGGTAATTTTCCCGGCACACATGCTATATCATACTTTAGATTCGTTTTTGATGATGAATATTTTATCACACTGTAAATGATAATTGTTATTATTGTTGCCGCGATAATACTACAGTAAATTTCCATTTTTAGACGCTATTATCACGTCGATTAATTGTAATGAACTTTCACTGCTAAATTTTAGTGCAAACTGAATCTTTCTCTGGATTTTCACTATCTGTTTATGCAATTGCGCATATCTTGCAGACGATAAAACATTTATTACATTAAAGGTCAGATTAGATAGATGTCCTCATTTTTATTTATCTTCATAATAAATTGATAAGAATATTTTTTTGTCATTGAGATAATTTGGGATAATATTTGATAAAAAAAATTAATCATACTTTTTTAACTTATAATTAATAAATTATTAAAGACTGGATGGTTCTTCCATCTCTTCGTTTTCCCTCTGATCAATAAGCTTGTAACTTATAATACACGTACTACGTCAGAGTTATAATCATGAGATATAAAGGCAGACACTTGCGCTTTACACTTAGCATTTACCAGCATCAAGACATATACACGTCATAGGCACACGTACGTACTACACAGACAGTATGTAAGGCAGTCAGCGATTCTGCCGGTAATTAAGTCGATGAACCAGCAGACTAACGTGCTTCTATTATACAAGGCAAATGGGTTGCTGTTTGCTCGGGATACACGTTTACATCCATTGTTATCGTGCATGTGCTCTTGTCAATCCTTTGTTCGCTCTCTCAAGTCAACATTCGAATTACATCACGTTCTCGTTAGATAACAGTAGTTCAAATCTTAGAATATTTCTTAATATTTCTAAAGATTCAAGCTTTTATTCTGAAGAAAGAAAATTTTTGAATCTCAAATTCTGATAAAAATTTTGAAACCAAAATTTTATCCTCTATAAAAAAAGATTCTCATCAATTTTATTGTATCTTTCATATTTTTAGCAAAATTTTCATTCAAATATCTTTTTAAAAATTTTTTCATATAAGAATAAAAAAATATAAACTAAAGTTCAATTGATGATTCTTGATTAAATATCAAAAATTGTAAGAGTACTTATTTATAAGAAATTCAATTTTCTACAAAAAAAGGTCCTTATCAATTTTTTATTATTTTGCACACGGAAAAAAGAAAACTTGAAAAATTACATTATAAATAGTAATAAGTATCCCGACGTATTAAAAACTAGAAAAATTACAGTTTGAATTAACATTTTTTTAAATTCAAACTTTGAATTTTAATTTTTAGAACTTTTGATGTAAATATTACATTCTACAATGTAATTCTTATAAAATCTATAATAATTACATTCTGAAACTGTACACTGATAAAAAAATTAACTAGACTCAAGAGCCAAAATCTTGAACCAAGAATACCATTTTGAAGAAAATGATTTTCTTGAGTCAAGCGAATAAATTATTGAGACAAGAAATTATTTTTGATTTAAGAAAATTTTTCTCGAGTCAAGAATTTATTATCTTGACTCAAAAAAATCGTTTTCTTAAAAACGGTATTCTTGGTTCAAGATTTTGGCTCTTGAGTCAAATTAATTTTTTTATCAGTGTAATAATTTACAAGTGGGGTCCATCATTATAATTTTTATGTTTTTTGAAAGAATTTTCTCTTTGATTTTATTTAGATATTTTTTCTTTGAAAAATACAAAAAAAATGAACAATTTCAAAAAAAAAAAGTAGAAAATTGTGAAATTAAAGCGCCACGTTAGATTATATAATGTAATTTTTCTATTGTTCTTTTTTCCCTGCAGTGAAAAAAAATTATCTTGAATCAAGAGAAAAATTCTTGAACCAAAAAAATAATTTTGAAGAGTTTCATTGTCTTGAATCAAGACAAAAAATTCTTGAATTGAATAAAACTTACTTTAACCAAGACAAATTTCTCAGTTTAAAATTTTTTCTATTTAAATCAAGAAGATGAAATTCTTCAAAATTATTTACTTGAATTTTTTTCTATGTGCATCTTTAACATGAAAATATAATTTGAATCCACGAAAACAGAAAATGAACTTTCTAAAATATCAATATTTTAACACTGATGGTTTTTAGTACTAATTTGACCTCTTGCATGTCACATTATATCTTATGTCACATAAAATACCATATCAGTTTATTTCAACAATATATATACTCTGAACCACATTAATTATTGTCGAACGCGCACGTGCAACCAGCCAACTGCGAACACCTACCAGAATCGATCGTCAATTCGTCTCGTAGCATTCTAGGTGTGTGTATATATAAATACACGGCACATATATCCGTAATATCACTTTAATTTAAATAAATATATCTATATATGTATATTTTTTATTTAATAAAATTGTAAAATCGATATTCTGTAGAGTGAATAGACTGGGCTGATTAAAAAGGCGTTATTTAAGTCATATCGTCGGTTGGGAACAGTGCCAAGCTTTAAACATTTTTTTTATCTTTATATTTCCACATCTACTTCGAGTTTCCTTTGCTTTTTTCCATGGAAATAGGACGAGCTAGATTAAATTCAGTCGTATCCACACTGGCAGCACCATCATCAATAGACAAGCATAAAGTCATTATTCTGAGGTCAAACGGCTCGTGGTAAAAATAAATTAATCAACAGAAAAAAAATTTTTTTTTCTTTTCAAACTTTCATCTGATCCTGACTTTTTGATGTCTATGGCTATGCAAATCTCTCAGGATTCAAATAGTCATTAGTTTTATTCATTAGGGATCGAATTGATTACATAATTGAATAGATTTTCGGATTTTTGATAAGTGATAGCGTGTAAAACTTGTTGAATTTTTTCATTAAATGTCAATCGCAACTTTACAAATAAAATTGGTTTTTTTTTTTTTTTTTTTTAAGTAATCGTCTGCAGAGGATTTATCTATTTCGTTTCAGTGATTTTTTCAATTACTTTCGGTAGAATAGAATTGAATTTTATTCTTTGATGCATACGGATGTAAAAAGCTACTGGTGCAAATAAATAATGCCAATACCAATGCACTTTAGTAACAACATAAGATAGAAATTTTATTACCTAATTTTTTCGATTTGAACCCCCGAAAAAAAAAAAATAAAAATTGTTATTGGCTCCCAAAAATACCGAGTTCTAGCCAATAAAACTTCATTCTAATTTTCTTTTTTTTTCAATGGTAAAAAAATGTTTTTAATAGATCAAAAGATTAAAAACAAGTAGCTGGAGGATTCCAATTTTCTTGAAAAAAAAAAAAAAATTTATAATAATAACAATTAGCAACTTGAAATAACGATTTTACTTCCAAAAGTTTAGTTTAATGATTTTTTTATATTTTTAGAAATAATATTCATAGTTTGGATACTTTTGAAATAAATTTTAAAAATAATATTGCTATCACAAGATCAATTACCAATTAATTAATGGGCAAATGTCATGGTAGAAATTTATAGAACCAACAGATTATTCAAAATTTCTCAAAAAACTTGACATAAAAAATTGACTATTACCAAAAAATATATAAAACCTTGAAAAGGCACAAATTTATATCAAGACCTTTCTACTGATACCGAATTTCACTAAAAAAAAAAACAAATTTTATCAAATAAATACCGGGGACAAAATTTTTTTATTCTCTTTATTACACTGACAATAATAATAGAATAAATTTAATACGCAAGTACGTGACATTTAAATGCTAATCTCACATAATATACCCGGTAACATATGGTGAAACAATTCAAATAATCCTAAAATAAATTTGACTTTTTACAACTGATAAAATAAACAAAATTGCCGTAGTAGCAATAAACTTCCTCTTTAATGTTCGCACTATAACTACTCTCTTCTCCCCAAGCCTATAAATTCGTAAATTAAAGCAATCATTGGCGAAGTAATTATTTTGGAAAAGTTCGACATTATTAAAGTGCTTTTTTAATCTGCTCGACGGAATTGAGGTTTGCAATAAAGCAAGATTAAAATGTCACTTGGATGCACGATAAGAAACGTTAGAATTGCTGACTTGAATTCATTTGCGAGTTACTGTGAGATGCACTAGAGAAAAAGTAAGGTTAAAAATAAATAAAAGAAAAGCATATAGTAATAATAATAATAAAAATGATAATAAAAAATAGTCTGGCCTAGCTTTCAGCCGACCTGAATGCTCCCTCGGCTTTGAAATAAAAAAGAATGAGAGTGCTGGCTCTCGGTAAAAATGAGAAAGGCGAATAAATGCAACCTTTCTGCTTTAGCTCTATACTGTTGTTTTTGTTGTTGTTGTCTACTGTCACACACTCATTGTCACGCATTTTACGTTCACTAAGGGACCACATTAATCGCCAGCTCTTTTGTACTCTTCCCCTCTTTTTATTGTTTATAAACTTTTTTTATTTGACTCCAAGAGAATGTTTTCAGGCTTTGCTAAAAAGCTTCGAGCTTTGTCTGAATTAAATATCACTGGCATTAATATATACTAAAAGTAACAGTCTGTTTGCCGGTTTTTATAATAGAAGTTGATTAATGAATTGTGTAAGATATTTCATTATTTAGACAGAGTAATTTGACCGCTTGTTACGGAAAAAACTAATAAAAGACGGACATTAACGATATTACTCTCACTCATAAAACAGGTAATGTCAACCGACATTCTTTAAATTCTTATGGTATGTAATATGAATAAGGTATACGACCCTACCATTATTTATTTATAGCTAAACATTAAATGTCACCGTCCGAGCAATTTTCATTCTTTATTCTACTTGCTCTAACGAATTACGACTTAAAGACTTAATTGTTTAATATTTTTCTCGAAAAAATTTCATTTTTACTTTTTAGAACGTCTTTTTCATGTACATTCTATGTTATATTCAAGGACGTCGCGCCATCTGTTGTCATTGACCAAAACTAAATTTAAATGCTAAAAAGACCACTCGGCAGCCAAAATGGAAGTAGATTTTTCCAATAAAAAAACATATTTTTTATAAAATGATATTAATAATAATAAACAACTTCTATTACAATAAAACGATGGCATCAAAACGAATGCAAAAGTAAAATTTCATTAAATCTGTCTGAGAAAGTAGGTAATTTTTGGATCTAGACTGATAATGAGGTATGCAAATAGAA